AACACAAATAATATATTCAATCTCACTTCCTCGATGTTAAGTAAAATGAGAACAGATTACAAAAAAAGAGAGGTAACAATAGTTATTGAAAAAATAGTAATTGGGGTGGAACAGCGCTACAGTACTAATCACAGGGGTGGATGGAGTTGCACACCTGGGGGGAAGGGCAACCCTCAAAACCTTCAATGAATCTGGGAGAACAGGAAACAACAAAAATACAGGGTGCGCTAAATGGAACACATGTGAGATAATATTTACAAAAGAGTCTCTGAAAATACAAGGTGGACCTTGGGTTGGTATTCTTTGGTTCTTGATTGGGTCCTCAGTAGTTAATATGAAAAAACAAAAGCAAAAACAAAGAGGGACCAATAGTGCAAAACCATTAGGAGATGGTGTCATAAACAACACAGAAAGAGAAATGCCAACTCACAATTAATAGAGCTATGCCCAGCTCTAGGTAAAACCACATACAGTGGTATTTGAAACCCCCCACATGTAGGATATAGCTGGACAATAGATGATTCTTCAATACTTCTTTCAACGTCTCAAGTACGTGTCAGCATATAAAATACATAAAAATAAGGGAAAAACCCAATGGTGCAATAACGTATGACACCTGCAGCTACAAACAAACACTGAGGTCCTAAGAGTACCAACTTACAGTGAAAAGAGCTATAACCAGCTCTAAGTAAAACAGCATACAGTGGAATTTAAACTCCCCACATGTAGGATATCCTTCTGGTGATGTATATAATGCAGGATTTATGAAAGAAAAAAGCACAAAAGAGGGCCCATAATGTTCTCAGTAGATAAAATTGGTGCTAAAAGGTAAAACGAAACGTACTTACAGTGTATAGAGCAGCCACACTGCTCTATGAACCAGGCGTGAGTGGAATAATCCCCACCTAAGGATTTCTTTGTAGTACTGGATCTTTAAAAATAATAAAAAATCAGCCAGGATAAAATAGCAAAAAATAAAAGTAAGAGGACTGACCATAGAAATATAGGTAGTCTAAAAATACTTTTATTACAACAAGATCATAAAAACACAATGCGTTTCGCCCAAAATAGGCTTTTTCAAATAATAGTTATTGCTATCGCTTTATTCGACTGCCTAAAAACACCTCCTTCCAAAGCTCTGCATCAATGTGCCAAAACAAAACCAAATAACATGGTGAAAGACACCTATATTCACACAGCTTTTTATTTAAGCATGTGATCTATTTACACCACCCCCATGTTTTCTATATTAATGCAAAAAAAAAAAAAACACAAAATATTGCCAGCATTTAAGATAAGGTCACAAATAAAAGCAAAGGACATACTGACAATACATGTTAACCATTTATTGTATGTCTAAGATAAGCATTAAGGGGGTGATGATTAGCAAAGATTATTTTAAGGGAATCATATAATGACTATTTTCAATAGTCTCAACATCCATTTCTTTAAAGGGACACTATATGCACTGAGACCACTTCAGTTCATTGAAGTGGCCTAGGTACAGTGTCCCTATTGCCCAATGTTTACAATCTTTACATTGCAGCACTAAGACAGACTCTAGTGGCAGTCTACCAGACAGCCACTAGAGGTGCTTTCTGCATCTAACTGATGCTGGACATCCACGTCCGTGTCTATTTCCCCGAGCTCTGTGTGTCTGTCTCCTTCAGCTCTGTGTGTCTGTCTCCTGCAGCTCTGTGTGTCTGTCTCTTACAGCACTGTGTGTCTGTCTCTCCCAGCTTTGTGTGTCTGTCTCCCCCAGCTCTGTGTGTCTGTCTCCCGCAGCTCTGTGTGTCTGTCTCTTACAGCACTGTGTGTCTGTCCCTCCCAGCTTTGTGTGTCTGTCTCTCCCAGCTTTGTGTGCCTATGTACCTAGATTTCTATGTGTTTAATCACCTAGTACTATTGTCTATTCCACTCCAATTTAGTTGTCTTGGGTTCAAATTTTCAAGTGCTCGAATCACGTTGTACCCCCAGACTTGGGTCTCTTCTCTCCCCAATCCATTCTCCTACCTGTCAGGGGCTCCCATTGCTTTTGTCGTACAGTCTCCTCTCTAGTCCGCCTCAATAACTAGTTTCTGTGCAGCAGACGTGTGTGGGAGAGAGTGTGAGAGTGTAAATCATGTCCTTGCTCTATTCACACATACACATACTTAGAACATTGTGTTTTTACTACAGGTAGAGATCCACAATCATCACAATGTAAGGCGCAAATTCTGAAATGTATTGTGTTCAAGAGAACAGTGGGGTAATACAGGGGTTCCCGTGCAGGATAAAGTGGTGAGGATTTCTATATTCATGTTTATTGTTCACACTTACAAAATACATATTTATTAAATATAATGATCAGTAAACATAATATTAAAAATCCTGTTTAATGAGGGTTCCCTTTTAAGAGTAAACGTAACGCTGAGTGCAGAGTAGAACATGATGAAGCACATATGTTGTTTGTCTCGTATCATCGTCTTGTGATGCTTATGCTTTATAAACGGTAGTTAGATGGTTACAGTAGACCTTAGCAAGTCCACTAGAGCTGAGGTCTCTCATAACCAATTTCTGGCCAATTAAATAATTTGTTATTGGCACTTTAAGTAATGTTTAAAGAACAATATGATATAAAAATATTTATTGGATAAAGGAATAATATGTAGTTGGAAACTCCAAAATATTATAGCACTGTATATTTTAAAGGATCTTTATGTTGATGCACTTGGTGTTAATGCACTGTGTTGTATACACTTTAAGTTGTGTTGGAGAATTAGGTGCTCCACCATCTCATTAGAGGCTTCTTCTTTAGGTGAAAAGTTTCTGCTTCTTAAATTCTTTGTACATGTTTCATGAGAAGGGTGCATTAAAGGAAGGTGCCAGACTCAATGCAAAACAAACACCACAAACCAGATATTTCATGCTAGTGTTGATGCCCATAATATTAACCACATACAAGACAAGCAAATGATTTGTATGTAATATACATTTATTCAGAAAAGGCAAAACAAACAAATTCATACTGAGATAGATAGATAGATAGATAGATAGATAGATAGATAGATAAATAGATAGATAGACACACAGACAGACAGATAGATAGATAGATAGATAGACAGACAGATAGATGATAGATAAATAGATAGATAGATAGATAGATAGACAAACAGACAGACAGACAGATAGATAGATAGACAGACAGACAGACAGACAGATAGATAGACAGACAGACAGATAGATAGATAGACAGACAGACAGACAGACAGATAGATAGACAGACAGACAGATAGATAGATAGATAGATAGATAGATAGATAGATAGATAGACAAACAGACAGATAGACAGACAGACAGACAGACAGACAGACAGATAGATAGATAGACAGACAGACAGATAGATACATAGATAGATAGATAGATAGACAGACAGACAGACAGACAGATAGATAGACAGACAGACAGATAGATAGATAGATAGACAGACAGACAGACAGACAGATAGATAGACAGACAGACAGATAGATAGATAGATAGATAGATAGATAGACAAACAGACAGATAGACAGACAGACAGACAGACAGACAGACAGACAGATAGATAGATAGATAGACAGACAGACAGATAGATACATAGATAGATAGATAGATAGACAGACAGACAGACAGACAGATAGATAGATAGATAGATAGATACAAGATAGATAGATAGATACAAGATAGATAGATAGATAGACAGACAGACAGATAGATAAACATCGATAACAGATAGAGAGACAGATAGATTCCACTTTCTCATTCTATATTTATATTTACTTTTATTTTAATTTAATTCTCACTCATGTATGTATATCTACTCCTATTCTATTCTATTTTTATTTTTATTTGATTTTCCCTTTATTTTTATTTTTATTTTACTTTTTGTTTTTATCTCTGTTTATTGATTATCTCTAATGTTGAATCTTATTCTTATTTATTCTATTATTATTTTTATTTTTATTTATTTTTCCATTTTTTATATTTTATTTTTTTATATTTTATTTTTTATCAATTTTATTCTTTGTATTATATCTCTATTTCTATGTTACTATTATTATTTTTAGTCCCTATTTCCTCACCAATACACTATCTATACCAGCACCCTTATTCCTTTTCACTTTCAATATTCTGTAAAGCTCCCTAATGAGCATTTACGATCTGTAATCATTTCGTAACTTCTAGTGGCAATTTTACTCATGTAGAGTCTCAGTTCTAGCCAGCTACTCTCTCCCGCCCCAATTAAGGATAAATTCATATTCATCGTATTATGTTTTATCTATTCATTACTGATATTTATCTTTCAATTTGTTCTGTACACTCTATTTCTATTTTGCTCCATACACTCCATGTCTTAGCATTGATCTTATTAGTTATCTTTCCACCGGCACCATTATCCTTTTCAATGTTGCAATTTTTCATAATGCTTTTCAATTTTAATTAGTATCAAATACATATTGTAATCTTCTGTGCCATTTCTGTCCATTGTTGGGTGAGCTATTCTTTTTCGCCCTAAGCAGGGACGAATCCTTTGCTTATCTCATGATCCACGTCTTTTTTTATTTTTTATTCTTCGGTTTTATTCCCATATAGTCGTCTCTGTATAATGTTATTATGGTAGTTATTTAGTATCAATATTCTCTGTGCAACATTTTGATGTAATCATTTTGTGTACTAATATATCTAGGATATCATGTATTATACTAACGTGATTGAAGATCATATTTCAAATTGGAGATCTTTAATCAATTTAAGCACACTAATTAACTTTCCCAAGTTATGTTATATATATATATATATTTAATTAAATATAACAATATTCATAAGTTCGACAATAGGTTTGACAAAGAGTTTTATAATGAGTTCCATAATCAATTCTTTAAGAATTTTTTAATCATGTTTTAATAATATTTTTAATAATTTGTTTAACAATCTATTACATGAACTGACCGACAGTGCTAGATAACAAGTAAGAATGATGGCATAAATGGTTTATTATTACTGATTCCATGACAGTTAAACTATACATCTATGTATAATAGGAAAAAAGTGAATAATATGAAAATAATGAGGAAACATATGTTACTTATGTTTTATTCATACCTAAATTAATTCAGTAATGTATGTGATGATTTTCCAAAAGAAGAACCCATATGTGCAATTAGTGACTTAAGCATGGGCATATATAAACTGCCATATACCATGTAGATTAGAAGGCTCTGATGAAGTAGGGCTGCACCGTACGAAACGCGTAAGGCAAATCACGCCATCTGACTAAGAGGAGCATTTGCCAGTGGAGACTGAACTGCAAGCATCCCTGTCAACCAAGGATTCCGAACATCAACATCATCTAGTGAGAACGGAGCTCACCCCTCAATGTGAGGTCGGAGGTGTAACACACGGTGACATGCACGCCGTCCTCACCGGCTGCCAGGATACAGAGGAAATATTAACTACTACAATCCTCAACCATCAGGGTCTGGACTACAAGTTTACTTGCTTATCTTATTTCCTATATACTGGACTATCTGCCATCCTCTGATTTTGATCACCATTTTTTACATTTGTAATTATTATTATTTTTTAACTAATAAATTGATCTGTTTTTTCATAAGTTAAGTCACTTTTATTTTGCACTGTGGCATTACTACAAGTTTTATTTGGGCAATTAGTTCCTTATACTAATATGCTCTGTCATAGACCTTAAATAACTTTTAAATGCATAAAAGTATATTATAAGGTATAAATACCATCAGCCCGGTGTTGTCTTCACAAGCAGGGTTAGGGTTATTTATGATAAAAGTATTTCATCCAGGACTTATAGATTAGATTACTTTGGATTTATATTTTATTTTGGATTAATATTTTACTTTGGACTTTCCATCTTATTCATATTATGGGCATTTAATTAAGGGTTACATACATACTATTCTGAATATTGTATTTACTCACTGTTTATCATTTTAATTTTATTCTATATTCATTGTATTTTAGCTCCTGGATACCCACACTATATTTTATGGTGTACTATATTTACATACTGTATAATTACCTTTATAACATAAATAAATTGAATTCATTCACAAACATCTAAATTAGCAATGTTACAAAACAGCAGTTAAAGGAAAATTAATCATGTACTAGAGAGGAATATCGTTGATGCCAAAATACTTAATAGTCTGAATGCACTCTTCCTGTCCTTTTAACCCTGCAAGTTAAACCATTACAGTTTCAGAGAAACTGCAATGCATACATTGTAGGATTAAGACTGCCCTTGGTGGCTGTCTCCCAGAGGCATATTTTATTATTTTATTGACTGTATATTTCTGAGTCATTTCAAGATATTTTACATCACTGAATTTCTTATAATATATCTCTTTATAAGAATAATCTCTAATATGTATCTTATTGTGTGCACTAAACGTAACCTATCATTAATTAGTAGATACAGAACTTCATTAAATATTTTTGGATAATTTCTTTTTTACGTTTTAAAATTATTTAATATTGAAAACTATATATATTTTAATATTTTGATATTTTTTGATATATTTATTATATTTTTCTATATGATATGTTTAAAAATATATATACATATTTCTTTTATTTATGCAAAAATATTACATAATTTGAAAAGCTTATACAAAAATATTCAGTCAAGGGCATGGCTTTTGTCAGTTAAATGCTAGCTGATCCCTTTTAATTCCACATTGTCCTGGAGATCAAGATACTTGATTGGTAAATAGATACTCTGAAGGTATTAATTTAATGTAGTTGTGGATGGGTTTTTGAGCAATTCTTAGCTATGACAATATAAAAATGTATTTGTGTTAGAACACATGCTTTTTGGAAATTAACCTTGAAACAACCTTGAAATTAACCTTGAAAAAAAAATGTTCCATGGTTTCCAGTAATTTCAGGTAAAACATTTATATATTGTCTACATTCATTTCATCTCTGACAAAAGATGAGGAATGTTGCATTTTTTCTTCTAGGCTTCGGTTCATTGACACAAAGGCGTCATTAAGCACCGACTCAATCAAGGACAATATAGACTTTTTGAACACTTTCTTGAAGCTATCAACAATAAAGAGATAAAATATTGGGGTGAAACAGAAGTTTAAACATGTCAAGCAAGTAGTAAGGATTCGTAATACTCCCAGGGTGGTTTCTTCGAACCTTCCCTTTTCTATACTCATTCCATACCACAAATGGTAAGGCAACCAACAGACAAAAAAAGAGAGAACTGCAATGGTGATGATCTTGTAGGGCTTGCTAGTTCTGGCCATTTTCTCTTTCTTCAACTTTAGGGCAATTTGTAAATAACAAAATAGGATAACAAAAAATGGGAGGAGGTAACCTACAAGAATACGGAATGTGAAAAGGATCCATTTGATCTTAATTTCTCTATGTTGAGAATCCCATTTTCGAGAAAGAGTATAATCATTCTGACAAAAAGTGGCGTTTTTTTCTTTTCGGAGTTGGCGAAACACAATGTAAGGAGAGCTACAGATGATGGCCAATCCCCATATGAATATGCAGATAATAGTTGCATAGCGAGGCGTCATGTGTCTTCTATACCAGTGTGGGTGGAAAACCAGTAGATAACGGTCTATGCTGATGACTGTGAGCATAAAAACTGCTTCAAACATTGCAACAGACATTAAAGAGTTCAGAAGCTTACACATGACAAGTCCCAATATCCAGTGAGGATATGTGAGCATATAAACTGCTATAAATGGTAAGATCAGGGTGAATACTAGGTTAGCCAGAATAAAATGGAAAAACCAAGTGGAGTTAACAGTTTTGCTTATCCTAAATCCAAGAACCCAAAGGTAAAGACTGTTCACGACCAGTCCAAAAAGAAAAGTGATACACATGATTAGAGTGATGAAGATATTGGAAGTTGGAATAACTGGAGAGATTGTTCCTTCACTAGTAGTTGTGTTGATAGTAGACGTTGAAGTCACATTCCATGACATTGTGTAATTTTGCTTATAAAAAGGAAATGAAAAAATAAATTAAGAGTACAATAATACTCCATCCCAGCTCCCACCACACTTCTCAAATAAAACATACCTTCTCCATTAATTTGACACACTGACTCCATGGCTAAATATCAAAATCAGAACATTTGTTTTTCTGTTTCTACTCTCTTTTTATAATAATAACTAGATTACACAATAACTAGAGTAGTAATTAAAGCAACCTGCAGTTTATGAGACAGAGAGCAGGAGTAAGTAATGTAACACTTACTCTCCCATTAACCCATTAATTACACTAACACATATCGACTAAACTGTAACCGTAATCCTAACTGCAACCTCAACTCTAATCCTGACCTCAAAATATGTAATAAAAATACTTATAATGGTGAAGAGTTTATTAGGAGAAAATAATGCAATTTCCAGGCATTATAAAGTGATGGCTTTATACATGGTTGCATATCCTATATTTTGTATCTACCCACAAGCTAGTGCTAATATGGGATTCCGTGGATATTTAAACTCACCATTATGTCATACCTGTTTATTCTCCTGGATCTGCAAACTAAAGAAGATGGGTACCAGTCTAGTTGGCTGGAGGAAATGAAATTGGGTCAACTAGTTGATTTCCCCCTACAGAAAAGTTTTCATCCCTCACCCATTTCCTGTAACAAGTGTAGGACTTCACATTAAAATCTATGGTGGTTATTTTTACTCATTATTCTTTACAGTCCTGGTGATTAATTGACTCTGCAGGTAGCAATGATTTCAATGTAGTTCTGCAGTAAACATTTCTATAAATGTCTCTAACAATGGTGGAATATGGTAATTCTATTCGCAATTATAACTGTAACGAATCCAAAAACATTTTGAGAGCAAATCAGCACTGAAACATTAATGTATAACAACCAGGGTTCGGGTCCTGCAGGAACTTTTTCCAAAGCAGGAACGCTGTTCCCGCTAGTAGTCCTGCAGTACATGCCCTGGTACCTGCACACAGGGGCCCAGCACACTCTGTGTTCCCTCTCCTGCTGCTCTGTGTCTCACATTCGCGAGTCCCGCGGCCGTCAGAGTGTTGCCACGGGTTACCATGGCAACGCTCCGCACAGCACACAGGCGAGTCTCGCGAGAGTTAGACAGAGCTGGAGATGGAACACAGAGTGTGCTGGTCCCCCGTGTTCAGCGGCTGGTTCCCTCCACCATACAACCGGACCACTAAGGAATGCAATCTCCCCCCTCCCTGAGAAGGTAAAAAGTAGGGAGGGGGGAATAAAATTTTTAAAAAATGCATACACAAATTGAAAAAAAAGCTTCCCCCCTCACACACACACACATTAACCAGCACACACACACACACACAAATCATGCAGCACCCACACATCATCCAGTACACACACACACACACACACAAATCATGCAGCACACACACATCATCCAGCACACACATCATCCAGCACACACATCATCCAGCACACACACACACACACATCATCCAGCGCACACACACACATCATCCAGCACACACACACATACACTGCATTCATTATACACACACTGCATTCAGTACAAACACTGCATACACTATACACACTCTGCACTCACTACAAACACACTACATTCATTATTCACACCCTGCACTGCACTATATGCATAGGAGTGTAATTTGTTTTAGTTTGTAATTTGTAATTTTTTAATTTTTTAATTTTTTTAAATTTAGGGGGGGGGGGATCTTGGGAATCTTGGGTGAGTTCCCACACTTTTTTTCCCCAGGATTTTCACCTGCCATCTTGCAGGACAGATTGTGTTAAAGCAAACTTTAGGTTGTGAGTGTTAAAAATCCATTTCTTAATAGTTTCAGAGTTGGAGAGTTTACAAAAACATTAACAAAGCAATCATACAATCAGCAAGTGTATAAAGTAATAATGTATGCAATGTGTAATCACATGGATTGTTTACATGCATGTATCTCTTTTTTTGAGGGTAAAATATGAATGTTTATATTTTAAATGTGTAATGACCAATATTTATTCTTAGTTTCTTACCTTTAATTCTTCAAAGTTCTTTTTAAGAATGTTATCATTTGGATCCAGTAATGAGTGACAGCTTACAAAACACAAATTCTTTAGAAATAATAGCACAGAAGAATTCTCAGTCCCCAAATTCTTTCATGAATTCCTTGAGTACTATGAATACACATTTTGTTTTCAGTCTGGTTGGAAATCAACTGCTGTATATTTCAAGATACAAAATACTTGAGTCAAACTGGCACTATTGGTAGATTAAGAAATAGCACAAATAATCTCACTTCCTCAATGTTTCTTCAATGTCAAGTGAAATGAAGTCAGATTACAAACAAGAGGGACGAATCCATATCAGTCATATATATTTCCACGTGTAAAATCACCAAAATACTAAATGCACAAATAAATTAATAATTGTTAGTAATATCAGTCATTGTTTTTTTTAGCTGCTTAAACACTCCTCTTCCTAATGCTCGGTATCAATGTGCAAAAACAAAACCAAAGAACGCAATGAAAGCCACATATATTCACATTAGTTATATAAGTATGTGGTCTATATACTCCACCCCTGTGTGTGCATGTCTATGCAGAAAAAAGCACCATCTATGATAAGATAAAGTCACAAGTGAAAGCAAAATAAATACTGACATTAGGTAGGGAAGGGGTTTCCAACCCAGTCGTCAAGTACCCCCTACCAGTACATGATTTATGGATTACCCTCTTGTGTCTAAAGTTTTTTTTTTTTTTTTTCTAAAAACACCTTAGATGCAACTGGGCAATCCCTAAATCCTGGAGTGTTAGGGGGTTCTTGAGGACTGGGTTAGGAACCAGTGGTCTAAAATACACTTCAAGGGTTAGCAATGTTTCTCAGAAGTGACTTGTGACAGTAGTCACAGTCACTGAGAATGGAAGATAGGCAATATATGTGGGTCCCCATCTTCATCTTGTGTTTTGGTCACCCTGTGTCCCGTTTTAGTGCAGGGTATGTTTAATGTATTGCTTGTCTGTGCCTCTCCCCCTCCCCATTGTTTCTCCAGATTTCAATATGAATGTTTCATATTTCAATATGAATGTGCCTCTCCCCCTCCTGTTCCATTGTTTCTCCAGGGTGGAAAAAGCCCTCAGTGATCCCAGACAAGCCTCGGTGACTGGATATGAAGTGTTCCAAGGTCCCTGATAATTAAGAGGTAGCAGACTTGGTGGAGGTACTTGGCTGGAGTACTGGAGCTCCGTTACATGACTTTATTTTTAATGGTCTCAGCATCAATGTATTTATTTCCCTTGAACAGATTTCATGGCATGCACTGGGCTCTGTATCATTACAATCACTGATGACCTAAGCAATAGGGAAGGACATCTCTCAGCTTGACCCCTCACTCTACTTTGTAGGTGAGTAAATGGAGTCACATGCATAATATCATTACACAACAGACTTCACTAACATTGTGAAAAGAACAGAGATAAAAGATGGCGCTATAGATAATAAAATGTAGAATATCATATATAAAAAACAAAAAAAGAATCAAATTGGATATTTGAGCTTCAAACATTATGTCCAAAGGGCTTAAACATTGATTTTGAAATTGGTTCAATTTTATAAATTTCCCCTGTCATGTATGCTATTATCATTAAGTTTTTATATATGTAATTTATGGTTTTATACTATATATATTTTTTTATATTTTTATTACTTTTTATAACCATATTATTGTTGGATATTCCATAGGATCTTGGTTTTATACAAAAATCTCTCTTTCTCTCCTTTTCTCTTCTTTATCTTGTATGTTTAAATGGACTTGAAATATGCGTGATAAGAGTGACACTCCTTTGAACCAGTAATATGTCCGTATGTTATTCACGCCCCCTTCGGTGTCACGTGATCGGAAGCCATATCACGTGACCGGAATTACACGAAACCGGAAGTGACGATTTGCAACCACATGGAAACCACGCGCGGCCATCTTGGGAAGGTCGCGCGTATCTGTATGGACAATACTATGCGGCGGCCATCTTGGAGGAGGCATACACACTCGTTTTCGTGCCGGAAACACTCCGAAGATAGGACGGACTCTACAGCTGCTAATATTTTACCAGTAATTATATTTATTGTATATGGTATATAAGAATGTTGTTTGGATGTTTGTTTTATGCTATGCACCTGAGGAAGACCTATTGCATTAGGTCAAAACGCGTTGTGCTACATTTTTATTATTTTCTAATTAAAGTACTTACCTTTTATTCATCTGGTGATCCTGGTTCCTGATTTTCTGCATAAAGAAGACTGTTTGATGTCTTTCTAAGGGACCTATATTGCATAACCTACACCAGGCTGACAAATCTGCTTTAAAAGTTTAGAGCCAACTCCGAAAGGCTCTAAATATTGTGAGTTTTCCAAGTTTTCCTTATATTTTATTTAAGTTTAAGATGTATTGCCCTATGATGGTTTTTTATGTTTACAGAACCTAGGGACTCCATTTTAACCAAGGATATCATTCATTGTGTGCGCAACCACCGTCCTCTTTTATTTCACTAACATTGTGACATAAATTTAAAGAGTATCCAAAGTACCTTACTGAGTAAAGTGGACCTGAATTTATACCCAGATCGTCTTGACGCACTATGCCAGAGGGCGATACAGCCTGAGTCATCTACACTGATCCGACACTTATACATCCTTCAAGATACCACAAACTCCGCCATCACAACTCGTGATTATACTCACCAAGTTATAAATGTTATTTGGCTTAATGGTTATTATTTAGCTTTTAATTTCATAATCTAGCATAACTAACATATCTAGAAATATTAGACTGGGCCGATATATGTCTCTACTTATAGTTTTATGTTACACAACTACAGCCTTATGCAAATGGGCCCGCACATTGTGCGGTCATATGTTAGAGATGTTAATACTAGCACTGGCTCCGAGACTTCTCCCCACCCCCCACTATCCACAATAGAGCTAAGATAACCTACTGACACAAATCCCTGGAGGGGGCTACCCCCCGGAGCACTTAAGCTTATGCAAGACACACCGTTACTGAATGTACTGTACTAATATGCCCAGAGGGGCTTATCTCATTGTAGTATACCTATTGATTAACTTGATTAAAAAAAAAAAATCCATCTGCATGCTGCTGTGCACAAGCCGATAACTATGCCTTTACTATTTTATGTGAATTTCAAGGGCAACAGCCCACATAATATATTTCTGTGACCAAAAATAAAGAATAAAAAAATAATAATAATAATAATTAGTAATATAGTGACTGCTGCTTTGAGATGTTTCTGCCTGATTTAAAATAAAAAATACCAATATCCTCCTGCCCGCTCTATCAACTGCAGAGATCAAGCAACTCATATACAAAACCACACAGTGCCAAATGAGCAAAGTCACTACACAATTCCTGTCTGCTGCCTCACTCCTGCAGTACTGTGCCAACAAATACCCCAGTATGCCTCCTATTTTATTCTACAGAAAGCTGCAAAGCTGCCATTCACATCCTCTCTAGCAATTGCCACCGGTCCGTTTTGCTGGCCCTCCTAAAGCTAATATGAGTATATCAGGGAATTACTCTAATACTAGAATTATACATATAGGGTAACCGTATTTCTATATCATCATTTACGCTTTCCATAAGTTGGAATGATTTGAGCCTAAATTATGTCATTCCATTTTTAGTTAATTATTACTTTGTTGTTAGCCAAAATTGTGCTCACTAATAAGGGGAGTGACAGAGAATAGGGCAGAGTAGCGTGAAACACGAAGTCTGAAAAGTTAACAGATATTTTCAGCAAAAGATTTTCTTTTTCAATATGAATGGTCTTATTCAATCTTCAGCCAATCCTGCAGTTGACAGATTTAGGAACAGGAACTTGTTTGAGAAAAGGGGGGATGTGTCGGGTGCTCACTCCAAAACAGAAAGTCAAATAGGCAGCAGTAACCAATACAAGGATTCCCAGCCTCATCAAGAAACAGTATAGAAGAAGAAAGGAGGAAACCGCGCCTTACATAAGTTGTATATACATACACTTGATGTTTCTTAGTAGTTGTGGATAATTTATCCTCAAAAAGAGAACACAAAGAGAAAATATACAATAGTGTAGTATGTTTAACAATATTGAAAAAAGGTGATAAAGAAAACGGAGGTATTTTAAACTCACATTTGGTAGAGTTATTATGGGAGCTCTACCATAATTTGCATGTACGGTACAATCCCCGTTTTAGGATTAGAGGTCCAACGTCTTTGGCACTCCGATGGTATGGTGGTGCAGATAAAAATGGAAAAGAAGAAACTCCAATGGTATAGTAGTTCCAGCTCCAAGTATAAATTAATAAATGAAAGTAATTATACTCACATTTGCTAGAGCAGACAACTTGCTCTAGTATATAGGGCTTGCAGTGGTATAATCCCCACTGTAGGATATGCAGGCCAGGAAGTTGATGAGGAAAATAAATAGTATAGTAAAATAGGGTATAGCTTTAAAATATATATTTAATGATAGCACAAATAAAATAAAATGCTATATAAAATAACACTTGAGTGTTTGTGTTCTCTTTTTGAGGATAAATTATCCACAACTACTAAGAAACATCAAGTGTATGTATATACAACTTATGTAAGGCACGGTTTCCTCCTTTCTTCTTCTATAAACTTGTTTGCCTGTTCCTTTCTAGAGAAATTTAATGTTTGGAAATACCAATCGCCTTCTTCCATCTTATTATTTGGGTCAAAGAGGTTAACAGTGGAGAAGCATATAAAGCATAAATTATCTAACGCAAGGCATCATTTGCCTTTCTGCCCTTTGTCTTATTCACATTCATTAAGTCCAACATAGGCCTTGATTTAAAATTATTTAATATGATAAACCTTTAAAATGAATTTGTATTTAGAATGAAAGATTCTAATATTTTGATGTATTATTTTATATATGATGATTTTTTTTAATTGTTAAAAACATATATTTCAAAGTGTTGTAAAAGAGTTGCAAAGTTCTAAATGGCAATCTAAAAGGAAGCAGTAGAACCAACATTCCATTAGCGATTATGCCACTTTTACAACTTCACAGGCTGCTTTTAAGGCAATGATCATTCCATTTGCTTAATAAAACAGTACCAAGTATATAAGTGTACGATAACAAATAACAATAAATAACATGGGATGAACAGAAAAAAAAATATAGGGGGACTCAGGTTGTCTAGAAATAAAAGTAGGACATATCCCAAGGTGGACTCAAGTGAGGAGAGTCAATTGGGTCAGATTATGCATCAGATATCTACTCTCTCAGAAGTGCACCCCTGCAGAAAGATGTTGTCCTAGGTAGGGCGTTACGTCATGCTTGTGGCGTGTGTTGGTGTACCTTTCATCTGTCAGTATAGTAAGTTGTCTAGGAATGCCATGTCTTGGAAAATTGGTGATATGTGTTTTTGAACGAAAGTTCCTCCATCTTTCTAATTTCATCTACCTTGTACCTCCATTCCATTTTTGAGGGGATTTGAGGAGATCTCCAGTGGAGAGGAATCAAAGATTTAGCTGCTAAGAATAGTAGAGAGGAGGAGTTTTGTAGTTTAGCTAGAAGAATATCTGAATGATGGAGTACAGTTTCTGTAGGGTTTGATGATATTTGGTAACCACTAGAAGATCGTATAAGGTGAATAACATCCTCCCAGACTTTTTTAATTGGGGGAGCAGTTCCACCAGATGTGGAAAGTGTGCCGTTATCTGCTCTGCACCTGCAATACACCTCCAGTATGTAAGGGTTACATTTGAGTAGTTTGTATGGGGTGTGATACCATCTTGTAAAGAATATTAGACCAACCACCAAGTATTTTGAGCTTGTGGCTAACAAATAAGTTATTTAGAATATTTTTTTGCCATTGGCGTATGGAGAGGGCTAAATCTAGGTCTTTTCCCATTTTCTAGTATTAGAGGAAAGTGAGTTTGCCAAAGGGTTACATATTATTTTCTACGCCTCAGAGAGCATTTGCTTTGTGTGATATAAGCATATTCGAAGTCTGTGAGACATCTAATTCTGTTGTCTGGATTTGGGTCTGTAAGTACTGTAGCAATGGGTACTGTTTGAATCTGTCCACAAATGTAGGGGCTTCAGTAGGGAAATATGATTCAAGTATATGCATGGAGTTAGTGGTGAGTACATCATTTAGTTGAATATTTTGTTTATTAGGAAAACAGGTGGATAGCCAATACGTAAAATCCTTTGGTATGGACGGATCGTGCATTAATGATAGGTATGTGGAGAACGGAGGGGAATGTCCTCTTTTGCTTCTATGACTGTGCCAAATAGACATAGTTGGAAGCAAAGCTGAATGGTATTGTGGGCATAGTGTTGAAGGGTTGAATACCTGCCATGGTAGTGTCTCAATTGATATGTTCAGGAAGCTTGCTTCCATCAGTTTCAATGATTTGTTTAAGTCTGTTAATGCCCAGTCTTTAATTCTTGTTAGTGCATATGCAATGTAGTATTTCTGGGCGTTAGGGAAGTATTTCAGGGTCTCGTCACATCTGTCTGGTTAATTTGTGGCTTCTTACCCATCCATGCAATGCTCATGCGGGCCACATTAAGATTACAGTAAAAGGTATTAGGTAAGACATTAAGTCTGCCTGCCCCAATGGTAGGTTTTTCCCAATTTAATAGGTCTGATTTTCTTACCCTCAATAAGGGAGGGTAATTTACAGAGAATATGTCATATGTAGATGGGGTGGGAAGATTTGCTTTCTCAAAAAAAAGAGTCACGTTTCATAAGGTCACTGGTTAGATTGGACAGCCCTATTGCTAAGTACTCTGATTTATCATTGTTAATGAAAAATAATGAAAGAGTACTATATTGTGTCATTCATTTGATGAGTTCTGGGAGAGATTGCAAATCATATCTATTGGTAAGGGTTAGTGAGTGAGATAAGCAAATCATCTGCATAGGCCGTGACTTTATATAGGGAGTGAAAAGATGGCCAAAAAAAAATTAAAAAAGGGAAGTTCACAGGGCACAGTGAGGCTTATGTGCAAGATGTAAGAGATCTCAGTGATATCTTAATGGACCAGAATTGTAGAGCATAGCAAGACATTTTCATTGCATAAATACAAGAGTAGTATAGCTAAAGATAGGAAACCACCTCAGGTACCAGCCCGTGTTAGCCAAGGGCCAGAAGCAGGGTAACCAGGGGCCAGAATACCCAGATTGTTAATGACCACATCTGTTGGCATCTCTCAGAATGGAACCAACAATACTGGGTTCCAGTTCAGGTGAGCCGAGGGAGCCCGGGGACACCTGGTTGTCCTCCGATTCCAAACATGTAAAGTCCACCAGTAAGTGATTGTGGTGATGAATAGTTCTCCGATAGGGAGCACCCAAAATAAAAAATTTAAAGAAAAATTAAAATGCTGTATATAATAGAGAGTGAAGTCCCCCTTGTTAGGGATGCATATATGGTTTATCTTTAGTTGCTTGGTGAGGGAATGTCCGGTAGTTAAAAGTCTCAGTGATAATACTAATGAGTGAAAGTCCAGATTGAAATAGAAGCGTGTGCACTAGTAGTTCTCAAGTTGAACGAGGTAAACTTTAGCTCCAGTCTGGCAAGGCCGGGTCGTGGACAATACCGGGAAGAAAGTTCAGCTGGGTCTTTTTAGGGACAAAGTCTGGCCTGATGTTCATAAGGGTAAAAAGTTATGGGGAAGGTAATTGAGTAATGCTCCAACAGTAAATTCAAGTGTGTACTCATGAGTTTCATGACGATTATCAAGCAAGCTTTGTAGATGAGTGCCCCTGGGTGTTTTGATGTTTTTGCATTTGAAAGTTACGGTATTCCACTTGTCGTACTGTGGCCGAGGTGGCTTGGTTTGTGACTATAGGGTTCCATGTCACGGTGGGATAGATGGTATTTGTAAGTCCAGTCTTTTAGTAAACTCTGGAATGTCTTCAGAGCAGGTAATAGTATATATTAGATCTTCATGGTGAACTGTTAGACTGAGTGGGAATCCACAGCAGTATTTCATTTATTTGGCTGATAAGACTTCATTAAGGGGTTTTAGATCCTGATAGATGGTGATAGTGTGGTTGTTATTTAAAACTGGACCTAAAGCTTGTATTTTTTTTAAAGCAATTCTTCTTTAAAAGAAAGGTAGTGAAGTCTGCAAATCATATCTATTGGTAAGTCCAAGGAGGCTCATCTAGGTCTGAGGGTGCGGTGAGAGAAGTCAAGGGCTACAAAAGAGTTCCCTGATCTGCCTAATATTCAGTTAAAAATGACTGTCAGAATTTGCATAATATTTTCAGGCCTTGGAGACTCAGGCACCTCCCTGACATGCAGGTTGTTCCTGTGATCCATATTGTACAAGTCTTCAATGTATCTGTGCAAGTGTGCCATTTGGTCTTAAAGATGAGAGACTTGCTGATGGCACTGGATTAATTTGGTTAGGGGGTACCTCTCTTCTCATCTAGGTCATTAATCCAGGTCTCTTTCTTTTCCATTTTAACTCTATTTGAGGTGATGTCTTTGCAGAGAGTTGTTTTCATGTCATGGAACATTTCAGTAATGCCTGCCTTGGTTGGTAACTGTTGTAGAAGCAGACAAATATCTTGGTAGGCTTCTCAATCATGGGAATCCTATTACGATAGAAAAAGCTTCTTCTGAGCTGAATTTGTGTCTTTGGAGCAGCAGTGTTATATTGAGGGTCTTCGGTGTTTGCTTAGTGGGCATATCCTCAGGATATCTCATCTGCTAATGTATATTCAGTGCCTCATACCGTGAGAGCTCTGGCTTTAAGTGGCTATCTTGATGCTCGGTCCGACATGCCCCATGGTGATTTTAAAAAGTAAATAAAATAATATTAAGTGAAGGGCATGGTTTTGTCACTGAACTGAGTTGACCCGTCTTCATTCCACATAGTCCTAGAGATCAAGTTACTTGATTGGCACGCAGATACTCTGATGGTATTAATTTAATTCAGTTGGGGATGGGGTTATGAGTAATCCTTATCTATGACAATATAAAAATGCATTTGTATTAGAACTTCTTCTTTTTGGAAATTAACCACTGAAAAAAACAACTTGTGTTGTAAAAAGATGTTCCATGGTTTCCAGTTATTTTATATAGATATTGTCTTCTTTGTTTTAAACTCTGACAAAAGATGAGGAATGTGGCATTTTTTCTTCTAAGCTTCTGTTCATTGACACAAAGGCGTCATTAAGCACTGACTCAATCAAGGACAATATAGACTTTTTGAACACTTTCTTGAAGCTATCTACAATGAAGAGATAAAATATTGGGGTGAAACAGAAGTTTAAACATGTCAAGCAAGTAGTAAGGATTTTTAATGCTCCCAGGGTGCTTTCTTTGAATCTTCCCTTTTCTATACTCATTCCGTACCACAAATGGTAGGGCAACCAACAGACAAAAAAAGACAGAACTGCAATAGCGATGATCTTGTAGGGCTTGCTAGTTCTGGCCATTTTCTCTTTCTTCATCTTTAGGGCAATTCGTAAATAACAAAATAGGATAACAAAAAAGGGGAGGAGATAACCTACAACAATATGGAAGGTGAAAAGGCTCCATTTGGTGTTCAGTTGTCTATGTTGAGAATCCCATTTTCGAGAAAGAGTATAATCATTCTCACAGAAAGTGGTGGTGTTTTCTTTTCGGAGTTGACGAAACACAATGTAAGGAGAGCTGCAGATGATGGCAAATCCCCATATGAAGATGCAGATAATAGAAGCAAAGCGAGGTGTCATGTGCCTTCTATACCAGTGTGGGTGGAAAACCAGTAGGTATCGGTCAATGCTGATGATTGTGAGAATAAAAACTGATTCAAACATTGCAACAGAGACTAATGAGTTCAGAAGCTTACACATGACAAGTCCCAATATCCAGTGAGGATGTGTGAGCATATAAACTGCTATAAATGGTAAGATGAGGGTGAATACTAGGTTAGCCAGAATAAAATGGAAAAACCAAATGGAGTTAACAGTTTTGCTTATCCTGAACCCAAGAACCCAAAGGTAAAGATTGTTCACAACCAGTCCGAACAGAAAAGTGATTAACAGAATAAGAGTGATGAAGATATTGGAAGGTGTAATAACTGTAGAGAATGCTCCTGCACTTGTAGATGTGTTGATAGAAGAGACTGAAGTTATATTCCATGACATTGTGGGATTTTGCTTAAAAAAAGGAAATAAAAAATAAATTAAGAGTACAATAATACTCCACCCAGCTCCCGCCACCCTCAAACACAATTAGTGCATAATGGTAACAATTCCCAAGTAGAGCATACTTCCCCATGCCCTGACACACTGGTTGCATTGCTAGAATGTCAAAATCAGAACATTTGTTATTCTCTTCCTATTTTATTTTTATAAGCACGATATATACTAGCTAAAGTAGCAATTCAACCAACCACTGCAGTTTATGAGACAGAGAGCAGGAGAACCACCTGGAAAGAATTGATTGACAGGGACAATAACAATAGATCATGAAGACTTCCTTCCCAGATGGCAGTTTCTGATAAAGTGTATCTACTATGGCACTCACAACTTTGTTGTAAATGAAAGAAGACAACTTTTCATCTATACATTTGTTAGCAATTCTGGAGAGAATGGAAAAGATGTCAGTGTGAGGGAATGTGGGAAATGATAACACTGAAAAACAGGTGAGGAATAGAGACCGATGGAGATGAAAATAGACTGGAAGGGGCAGGTGAAAGGGAACCTCTCTCTTGGTGTGTGTAATACACACTGTGCCTACAATCACCATAGATTAAGTGATTCCCACCTTACAGTAACTATTGGGCTGGCTGGGAATCGTATACGTCATTATCAGTTGTGGACTTTATTTGCTATGATGCTCAGTAACCTGATAGTTGTCTTAGCATTGTGACTACAGACCATAACAACTACAGTGCCAACAGTTAAGCATTAACTCCCAAACTGAATCAGCTGGCAACTCAGGACTGGCAATCACATTTATCTGCCATTGCTTCCATTAAAGTAAATCTCTCCCTTTACCACTTACTCTACCTTAACACTTACTCTATCCTTTACCATTACACTACATTAACACTTACTCTACCCTAACACTTACTCTACCCTTAACCCATACATTATACAAACACATATCGACTAAATCTAACACTAACCTTAATCCTAACTTTGACCTTAACTCCAACCCTGGTCTAAAATGTGTAATAAAATGATACATAACAGTAAATAGTTTATTATGAGAAAATAATGCAATTTCCAGGCATTATAAAGTGATGGCTTTATACATGGTTGCATATCCCATATTTTGTATCTACCCACAAGCTAGTGCTATTATGGGATTCAGTGGCCATTTATACGCACCATCATTTCATACCTGTTTGTGCTGACCCTGCAGATAGTGATAATTTTAAGGTAGTCCTGCAGTAGGCAATTTATATAAATGTCCCTAACAATGGTGGAATGTGGTCATTCTATTCACAATCGCCAGTGCAGCAAGTCCAAGAACATTTTGTGAGCAAATCAGCACTGAAACATTAACATATAATAACCACACTACGCAGATTAGATTATATTTATGCAAACTCAATGTTGTGGTTGTTAAAATCCATTTTTTTTATTTAGAACAACATGTCACCACTTTGATTTGAATCTTCCTACGTGTAGCTCAATGATTAGCTCTGCAACAAACTTGGCAACAATGCAATATACTTACAGAGCAGTGAGTGTACAATGCATGGATTGTATCTCATGCGTTTATCTCGTCTTGCGTGTATATGTATGAATGTTTGTATTTTGAATGTGTAGTAATAAACATTTATCCTTAGTTTCTTACCTTTAATTCCTCAAAGTTCTTTTTAAGAATCTTATAAATTGGCTCCAGTAATGATTGGCAATTTCCAAAACACAATTCCTTTATAAATAATAGCACAGAAGAATTCTCAATCCCCAAAAATGTAAAAGCAAATTATTCGGGATGAGCCTTGAGTACTACGAGTACACATTTTGTTTTCAGTCGGGTTGGGAAGCAACTAAATATTTCAAGATACAAAACTCTTGAGTCCAACGGACACTGTTGGAGGATTAAAAAATAGCTCGTATAATGTTTTCAATTTCACTTCCTCAAAAATAGAGACTACCAAATCCATATCAGCTCAAATCACACAAAAAAATAATGAATTGGTGATAACAGTCATTGCTCTACTTGGCTGCCTATAAACACCACCTCCCAGAGCTCTGTATCAAATCAATGTGCAAGAACAAAACCAGTGAAAACAATAAATGCAACATATATTCACACTAGTTATATAAGTAAGTGTGTAATCTATTTACTCCACCCCTATGTTCTGTTGTTTAAATATATTTAAAAAACA